GATCTTCTTTAAGTTAATTTGTTCAAAAGAATAAATTCTTATACCATGAATTCGACTCTGATAATAAATGGCAAATTTTTTAAATGCTATCTATGATGTATTTCATAAATATGACTGAATTCCTGGTATTAAATCACAGATTTGGATAAGGACACTTTTTACAAAAAAAATTAAGATCAATAAAATTATTTTGTGTATTGTTTTGAAAAAAAAAAAAAATTGCTAACGTTTGAAGGAGCCCGTAGCAAAAATTGATATAGATGTTGAGTGATGCATATATTAATATATATTGCATAAATATAGTTAAATATAAACTGGCACGCCTAAAACTTTCTTTTTCAACAAAATTACACTGGTGTCCAAAATTAAGGTTACGAAGACAAAATGCTTGACATCTCGAAAAATATTTGGTTTATATTAACAAAAATTCTTACAAAGAAGCCAAATGCTGTTGGACATACACACCGGGTGAAGGACCTCCCACCGAGGTCGTCATTATACGAGACCCATTAAGAGTTTGAAATATCCAACACCCGTGGGACCTCGTTCTCGCAGGCGCAACCCCCGCAGTCCCCGTCCGGCTTTTACTAAGCATTGCCCAGAACGCTTCGTTGCTAATTTTAAAAACGCTGTCACCTTGCCTCCGGGCACCACTCCATCGGCAAAACCATATTGTATTAAGGGGACTCATACACCTTAAACCCCTCAAGATCTTCGAATATGTGACTGTTGCAAGAATTTGGATATTTTATTTATTTTAAAAGCAATTACTTCCAACTTTTTACAGCTGACTACATAATATAGCTGCTTTAGAAACTAGTAACCAGAAAGTTTGTGTTGCCACAAATATTTTTGTAATTTAATCCTCTTTGTGACAAAATATTTCGCCGTGTTTCCACCTAGCGCCCATGATATTTTAAAAATGGCTAATGGTGCATTATTGAAATTGGATGGAATTCTTTATATGGGCACTATTTTCGAACTGAACCAACAATCTGATAAATATTTTAATATTGAAAATTTTTATGGACGAAAACATTACAAATTTTGTTAATAAAATACATTTTATAAACTCAACTCAAAATAAAATAAAAATTGAACATGAAATTTTTAGAATTTTAGGTTCACAGTAGTTTCCAAATGTTATAAAAGCTATATATTAAATATGGAATTAAATTATGAAACAGAATGTTTTAAACTGTGCGCTCAAGTTGGAAACATGACGAAAAATGTTGTCACAAAGCGGATTAAATTATTATAAAATATTTGTGGCAACACAAACTTTCTGGTTACTAGTTTCTAAAGCAGGTACATTATGTAGTCAGCTGTAAAAAGTTGGTAGTAATTGCTTTTAAAATAAATAAGTTATCCCAATTCTTGCAACAGTCACCTATTCGAACATCTTATGGGTTTTAAGGTGTATGAGTCCCCTTAAGGTGCTCTGTCCGCTTTGTCAGTCCCCGCCACGAAAACTGAATGGGGTCAAGTCCCCGGGAACTCAGTCGACAAATGCACCATGTAGCTCCACCACAGCCGAAGGAACAGACACGACAATACCAGTACGGTCCCTGCCAAGCCTGAACCAACCTGAGTACAATACTCGGGTTCTAGTCCTGTGAAAATAATTTGTATACCCCCGTGGTTGAGACTGCCTAGGTACAGATCCTAGCCAGTACTTCCCAGGCGTTCGCCTGAGTCAACCCCTGGGGGGAAATGCTGTTGGACAGGTAATAGTCCTAGTCAATAGTAACAAGGTTTTAAAATACAACGGTGGGTGAATATTTTGAGATATGCGAACGAAATCAATCTTGGCCAAAACATGACACCTCGTATTTCCAGAATGGCGAAGTTAATAAGCTACACAGCTTTACATTTATAACACGCCTCACAAGAATTCTCATAATGACAATGATGTTGTGGATTATAGCCACAAACAATTTTATGCAGCTCACAAAAACATTTCAAACATGTCTTGTTGGAAATATGATGCTGCAAAGACTTCAAGTGTTTAGTTATTTGAAATTCCACTTACAACAAGTACCTTTCGTTTGAAACCAAGCCAAGGTCTTATGTCGGCGACTTCACTAGCCACACCATACGGCAACATATACTTGAAAATGATTCTACAGTGAAGCTTTGTGCAGCCTCGCTTTAAAAATAAAATCCTGGGAACTCAAGCTCACTGGAAAAGCCTCGCAGAGGTTAAAAAAAAATGATCCCGTAACAGAGTGCCGTCATGGTGCTTGTGTCGAAGTCATGCATTTGAGCATGACCGTTCAATATTATGATTCCTCAGACAGAAATTCCATTTCACCAAAGTGGGCGATTTCTGTTATGTCGGAGAGATAACAGCTTGTCCCTGGCTTTCTCCAGATGACTATTTGTCAAGCATCATTCTATGTTCTAAATCTCAGCTCATAACTGAGGAGGGTTTTACTCTAATCTTAATGTGCCTAACAATGATGCGCCTGGTTAAAATGAAACCGGGTTTTTATCTGAGATCTGTTGCGGATATATATCGTGGACTGCCAGACGTAAAGGGTCTTCTCTGCCGGGAGTCCTTATTCAGTTTGCCTGCAGATTTTGTTGCAAACGCAATTGTGGCATTCTAAAAGAACTTTTTAGTCTTTATTTTCTGTGATATGGTACTTTTAATGTCATTTACTTATCATCTGAAAGTATCGTGTCTTTTGGATACCCTTGACACAACTTCTTGGTGATGATAAGTGTAGTTTAGAATCTATAGGAAAGGCAAAATCATTTGGTATTGCACAGTAGCTTAGATTATATAAAAAAAAAAATTCACTATAATGATAGGATGTTATGCTCTTTGGTCATAGGCTGACCATTTCGAAACATTGATTTTTTTAACGTGATATTCTTTCGTCTGATGCACTCATGTGAGCAACAAACTCAGACAGCATGAAAAACGCTGCAAAATATAAGGCAATGTGAGAAGAAAATGGCTCATGGATTAAATTCTTGCGATCTTACAGTGGCATATTTCCATCTTTTCCGAAATTATTTTGCATTACTTAATGAGTTAGCACAAAAGCTGCATTGCCTATGGAAAGAACCAATATACAGGGCCGATTAACCGGGTGCGGATTATCCGGTTTCCGGATTATCCTTGTATCACTAAGCACACGCCCGCACACTTAACGCTACGGAAGAGAGCGTGAAAACACAAACACGTGCAAGTCATAGCATGCACTAGAAACGTCTGAAGTGCGTCTTTAGGTTTAGTCTCAACGATTACTTTGTCTTCTCATAACTCTTGCTGAGGAAGATGATGAGTTAATGAAGTTTTGTAAAATGTTAACTGCACTGGATGCCATTATACGGAGTAGCAAAAGTTTGGCCGTAAGTACAACCAATAACACTTATTCGATCATAGAGAAAGGTTCCTGCGAATATAAAAAATCTGAGATTTACCTATTGTGAAAGCATCGAGGCAATAACTGAAGTTGTATGCCGAAAAATTAAAAATCGATCTGGAAAATACCGAGGTTTGATTCAATGACGATTCGACTGAGCTGGACATTCAGTGCTTGAGTGACATTTATCTCGTTTCAAACGTCAAAACAACATAAGAGGCAGAGAGTGGCAGTGAAAATGACAAGCGAAGACGGCGCTTACAATTGCATTAGTCCTGAAACAGCAATGAGTTTTGTTGAAACTCTCTTGAACTTCGTTGACCAAAGGGGATTCGAATACAACTATAAAATAACACTTCGAAACTTACATAGCAAATTCGACAAATATTTAAACGCCTTCAAAAATAAAGTAACATTACTGATAGTTTTGAAGAACAAAATACACACAATACGTATGAAAATGAATAGTTTAGCTTATCCATTTTTCTAGTATTGCATTTGTCTTAGCGATGCCAGCAAACCTAATCTAGAATAATTATTTTGTATACCTTTTTGCACTTTTCTGAATTGAATAGTTGGCCTGTTTTTGTGAACTTTATTGGTTTTACTTGAGTTCTATATTGTAATATGTGCATTTAAGGCAGTATTTTATAATAATTTTCTTTGACTTATTTTTAAATGTTTGATTTATTTTTGAATGTTTGATTTATTTTTGAATGAATGTGGTTTTTGAATTGGAAATTTTTCATATCTTTATGTTGGCTTTATTCTTGTACTGTATTTCTATCGCGTTGCCAGCGAACCTTATGTAGAGTTTTTATATTACTTGGAGTGGTTTTGTTTTTAAACCAAGTTTATGTTTTGTATTGTAATAATATCTCAGGTTCAGTGTATTTTATGATAATATTGTTCAGTTATCAAAGTTATTGGTTCTTAATTATGAATTCATATGAAGAAATTTTATTTGTCAGTTTATTATTGTCTTAGTTTATCTTTATGCATTTTTTTTCTAAACTGAATGGTTCTTCTTGATATTGTGAATCTAATTGAAATTAATTGTGTATAATACAGTAATGGATGTATTATATTTTGTTTGTTTGTTTGTACCATAGTTTTTATTTAAATTAGTTGGACTCAGTTTTGAAAGTATTTCGTATTTTCAGTACAAATTATGAAACTATACTCGGTTTATTGTTTGAATGCTATAGGTACTACTTGTAACATGCTTTCTTTAGGGTCTATTAATGACTATGTTACTTATGTCCTTGTGTTCTTGAAGGCCTTGTATGCCACTGTAAACTTATTCTGCCTAGTTATAATAAATAGCTTCTGGAGGCAGAGGCTTTAATCCGTGTAAGGCAGACATCATGTCAGCTAGGTAATGGAGCCCCTGTTCTCTGGTTAACGGTTAACAGTTTAGCTTATCCGTATTTTGCAGTTATCCGTGAACTGCTTTCCCGGCATTAAAGCGGATAATTGAGTGTACACAGCAATATTATAACTATGACTACAGAATTACAGGAAAAGTGAAATTTCTATGAATAAGTCACTATTTATTGTGCTTTATATGAGTTATTTAAATGCTTTCATTTTAACAATATTTCATATTTCTCTTTTATACAGACGCCCTTCACGAATTATCTTCAGCGTCCCATACAACGTGGTTGTCATGGTTACCTCTAGCTTGGAATGTCAAGTTAGCTTACATTTGGAATTGGTTATGGCATTGAAGGTACTTTATCGGTACTGGAATTCTCGGTTTTCATGGGTGCTCGACAAGATGTTTGTCATTGCGGTGAACGCCAGATATTTCAGAAGAAAAGTGCCTGAATCTATTCTTTTCCCTGTACATATCATCAGTTAAAAATCCCTATATTTTGCATAAAATTATTAATCATATCACTATTTATATTATTATATATTATCTATATGGTATCACTATTTATATATTATCTATATGGTAATCCAATGCATAAAATGTAAGAATTAAAAACCGAATAGATTTACGAAAGTGGTTCATAAAAATGGGTAGAAAAAATATCTATTAATATATTTACATTATGAAACTAGTTTTTAAAGCATTTTCCGAATTTCTTTTCTTTCCGAATTTTATTACAAAGTTTGCAATTAAAACTCTCATTAACAAACATAATATTGAGTATATGCATCTATATTAGTTTTTAAATTCCTTTATATGTTTAAATATTTTCCCTAAATTTGCAAAACAGTTTTCTAAACTTAGCTACAAGATCAGTTGCAACGCAAATGTTACGACCTAAGCCTTTCAGAACATATTTTACTCATAATTTTTAATTAAGCCTTATTAACATGGCTCTTTTCATAAACATAACTATTGTTAAATATTAAATATGATCCTTTTTTATGATGATTTGTTATAAAAAAGTTCTTTATAAGAGAATAAGCTGACAGAAGTGTTGACATATTACATCCAAAACAGGTCAAGATTTTGCAAGAAACTAATCCTTTTCAATAATAATGTAAATTATAAAATAGATCAAAAATGAAAATAATTGCATTTTTGATAAAAAGCATCAACTTTCAAACTTTATTAATCAGGAGCTCTTATTTATCTGTAATTCGTTCTCATTGCGCTCCATGTTTTCCCCTTTTATACAATGAATCAAGAATCTATCGAAAAGAACTCTTTAAAATCCGTTAATATAGGATCACCACGCAGTTTTAATAGCTTCAGTATTTAATTAGCAATAACAAATTCATGAATGTTTTTGAATTTTAAACAATTAATTTGGAGTGTAACTTTTGCTACAAATCTAAGCATACTGTACTATATGTAATTTTGTTTTCAGTCAGGGAAAAAAAAAAAAAAAAAAGAAAAAAAGAAAAAAAACCCTTGTACACCTCAGATCAACCACTTTTATTTTCTTGAGTCTTTCGTTATAGATTTTAATATCAAAAAAACCTTAACTAAAAATACATACTAAACTCGGTGAAGTATTGTTTCTATGTAAACGTCTCAGATGCTTGTTATCACTTTCATATGTAAGATGTCTGAAAAACGGAGTGTTGTTTTTTAGGCGTTAAATATGAATATTGCTGAATATGAAATGTTTGTTTATAAGCAGCATATGCTTGAAATGTTAATTGATGTTGTTATACGCTCACATTTATATTTTATCTTGTATTTTGCGTTTATAATAACGCATCCTTTATAAAAAAACATTTTGGAATTATTTTATAAATAATATAATTTTTTGCTTGCTGATGCTAACGTATCATGATACAATGTGAAGCTTGTTATTTAATACATGTATTACATGTACACACATGTCTAATACAATGTGTATAATACATTATACATTTATTCCAAGGTATGTCCTATAATGACTGTGAAAACTGTATGTAAAATATGCCGTTTTATAAAGAAACATCCAAGAACAAATGTAAAATAAAAATGTGAATTGATTTTGAATGTTTTGTTGTTATTTCCTTATACTAGCTGTAAATTTACAAAGTTTAAATAGACTTTTTTCCAGTGAATACTTGCAATTATTATTTTTAATTCTTTTGATTATCAAGGTTTAATTCAGATCAAAAGGAATTCGGCAAATACATTTCGGCAGTAATAAGTTTCAGAGTAATCATCCATGAATTCATAGCAACAACACAGCAAATAACATTTTTATTTGGAAGTTATTTGGATTATGAAATTTTGAAATCGGTCGGATTTCAAAATTTTATATTCGCTTTTTTAATTAGGCTGAAAATGTATATTAACATCAAATGTATTTTTATGCCATTTTTAGAAGTAGAAAACTATTTTAAATTTTAGATGCATCTTACATAAAGAAGAAAATAATAATTACATTCGCAATGCTCCTTCGCCATTTCGTTTTAAGAACAAATTACCATTACTTATTCTCTCACGTGCAAATTTTTTTACGCATGTATGAACAAAAATAAAGGAAGCAACATTTATAGCACTTCATCAAAATTATTTGAAAGAATTTTCTGGTTTGGTTTGGTTTTTATTAGATTACGGCAGAGCAATATCTGCCTTAAGGGAGGAATGCCTTCGTGGAGGACTTTCTAAGGGAAACTGGCTCGTATGCACATTACACTTCAGGAAAGCCACGAAAACTCCCATGCAGCCGGCTCGTTCGCTGGATTCGAACCTCGGACCGAACTACCAGTTTTCAGCGACGTTACCGCTCGGCCGCTGGTGGGCCCAAAAGAATTTTCTGAATTTGTTGTCAGAATGTGAGAAAACACAGCAGTACACAACCGACAACTAAAGGGAAACACTTCCAGCAGCGTAAAGATTATGAAACAACATTCTTTAACATCACTTCCGCGTAGCTTTATAGCAACATAATTTCTACACAAATTTGTCATAGCGTAGCAACATTCAAAACTATATTACATCAGTCATATTGCTTTAATGAATAATTTTATTTTATTTAGAATAAGAAATCAAGCTTTATTCATTTTACTGCAAGCATTTTGTCTACGCTTTTGTCATAATATAAGAAGATGGGGCCCACCCATTCTCCGGTTCAGTCTCAGAGAGCCAACATTTGAAGATTTTCGATAATTGTAAAATAAAGTATCATAATTGAAAGTTTTCTATCATTTTATATTTTGATTTTTTGTACTAAAACGCATTCTTTATACTTAAGGTCCCGCACTTTAAACAACTGCTCTTAACAGGAGTTAAATAGCTCAGATCTATTGTGAAGTAGGGGAAAAAAAAGAAAAAAAAATAATCAAATTAAGGATTTTTTCAAATTACATGAAATTTTAATTAATGTCATGCTAAAAAATACAGCTAATTTTCTAGCATTTCAAGCAGTAAAAAAGATTGGGATAACCTGAAAATAAATTTTATAAGTTCTAAAAATCCTCATCTTTTGAACTATTTTATGATTCAGTTAAATCAGTTTTACTTTTGCGCTTCGTTTTCAGTATTTTGTATTTCTTAATATTTACATGGATCAAGCATTAAGTAATAAATGTCTAAATGAATGCCTGGCAAATATATATCTCAACAGAACGTTTTAAGTTGAGATATATATTTTTATGTAGATATAAATTATATAGAGATATAAATTTAACTTTGTGGGAAGTAGAATGTTTATCTGAAATAGTTATCTCTTCCAATGAAAAACGAGAGATACATAGTTACAATAACCGTTTAGGTATTTTAACGAGCATTTTAGGTTTAACAGCTGAGAAATTTATAAACTGTATTAAATTAATTTTAATAGCAGATAAATTTCTATGTGAAGTTAAATAAAGTGTTCTCTTAATCGTTTCTGAAATGTTAATGAATTTTTCATATTTATCCTTTTCAAATTTTGTATTTTTAAAAATAACATTTCATATATTTATAATCCTTTTATTGAAACTTTACTCCCACAAAATGAGTATTGGAATCATCTGACTTGAAATGAATTTCAGTTAATGATGCAAGAGCTTAGTTTTTTATTTTGCTCTCTCCACAACTATAAGATTATACAACTAAAAATTAAACAATCCAAACCCATTTCAATTTAAGTAACACTCTGTAGGAGTCCCTGATTTCAAAACTAAAAATCTCGAAAACAAAGCAATATAAAGGAATACAACAAGCGGTATATTTATTGTCAAAACTGTAAGATTGTTGCAGAGAAGTTTTTAAATAATAGTTACAAAATCTCGAAACAGATGGTGCTGTAATCGCAGAACGTAAGACTTAATAAATAGTGCTCTAAAAGACGTAAGAGCAATCCCGCCGTCTTCTATTCTGTCCTTTTGGGCCAACTGTATTGTACTCAATATATCTGAAGCATCCTCTTACAGACAACACATCTGGAACACAGCATGAATTATTCGTGCTAATCTCGACATATAGCGAAAGTTGAAGAAGTTGGAGTAAGAACGATCAGTTGCAGCATTGAAACGTGAAAGTTGGTTCGCGTTCGCGTGTGGAAAGAAGAGGTTTAAATTATTTATACCTATTGAACGTGCATTTTTGGCACTGGTATACCAGAGGTTAGATCACAGTCCTGTGGCAACGCGGCGTAAACACGACTGAATGTTTCCAAAGGACTCGGTGTGAAAACCATTCACAAGCTCTTCGCTAAATGTCCAAAGGAAAGGCAGCGTGGCGGATGATCTGATAGGGAGTTTGGGTGGCAGGCAAACTGTAGTTACTCTTGAAAATGTTGTAACATTTTCTGGAATTATTCAGAAAATCCAAGGATATCCTTCCGGAGAATTCAGCGGCCGAGCGGTAAAGTCGCTGAACACTGGTAGTTCGGTCCTAGGTTCGAATCCCGCGAACGGGCTGGCTGCATGGGTGTTTTCGTGGTTTTCCCCATGTGTAACGCTTATACGACCCAGTTTCCCTTAGAAAGTCCTTCACGAAGGCATCCCTACCCTTAGGCAGATAGCCCTCGAGGCTTTGCCGTAATTAAATAACCTAACCTAACCTAACCTTTCGGAGAACTACGGCAGAGGTCTGTTTGAAGCATTCCAGCACGCAGGAAATACTAAGAAACAGTTTACACGTTTCCATTCAAAATCCAAAGCCACCAAGCGCCAGCGTACAGCGCCGTATTGTAACTATTATTCGTATTATTTATTTATTATAAACTTTTATATATCATTCTTACAGATTTCATAATAAATATGCCACTTGTTGTATTCCTTTACCGATTTTTTGTTTCGAGAATTTTAATTTTGAAATCAGGATCTCCTTTGCTGAACACCCTGTATATATACTTTAAACAGTCGTAAAATGGTAAAGAACTATAAATTAAACATATTACATAACTAACTTCCATTTAGGTACCACTATACAGGCATTACTTGAATTCGCTTATTTTAATTTAAACCTTACCCATTATTTCACTATTTCATTTTATATAACTCGTGCATTTTTGAAACTCAATGGGAAATATGCATATATATACATGTGTAACTTAACCCCATACAAATTCTATAAACATAGAAGCTTAACGTTCTCCATCAATAAGCAAGATGTTAATAATGTAACTTGAAATTTCCGAAGGAATTACAAATTAATTCACAATATTTATTGCTGATAGCTGAATAATGAATGGAAAGAAGAAGAAGAAGAAGAAGTTTAAGGCATTCCCCGTATCGAGAACTCAATCTCATTCCGGATCCACTCCCACTTCGGGCACATCATGGTGGTTCAGCCTCCACTATTACCCTCCAGGAGAGCAGCGCACCACCTGGGACGCACCCGAGGCAGCACCGGTCGTCTAGTGCACCTACCAGTCGCTTGGGCGAGCCCGTCGCAGCGGGACATTACCCAGCGACCCAGGGGGAGACCCCCGGGTTACTAGAACCACGCCGCGCTAGGACGTGCCAGACTCCGGGGCCGGCCAATAAGTGACTTTTCCCAGAGCCTTCAGAACCACCAAGTTCATAAATTTTATACCCCCGTGGCCGAGACTGCCTAGGTACAGATCCTAACCAGTAGCTTCGCAGAGTTCTCTACGTCGACCCCCGGGGGGGGTAATGAATGGAAATGAAATCAAATTAAGCGGTTGCAGAAATAAAGTACTCTAACAAAGACCATGAATTCCTCTGCAGAGACATTACGTTATTTGGAAGCAGGAGAGAAGAAAAATGAGCAATGCCCTTCTCGGGATTCGAACCGCAGACCTCTCGACCGCCGAGCGTGCTGGCCACTACACTACGATACACCTGCAGATGATTCTCAATACAAACATAGCCATCAATGTCTCATCAATCTCGAAGCGTGCTGGCCACTACACTACGATACACCTGCAGATGATTCTCAATACAAACATAGCCATCAATGTCTCAAGTCAAAATTGTTCTTTAACTATCCCCAGGTATGTTTTGCAACATTGCTTTAGATAAAAACCTCATGATAATGAGTACTTTAAATGTGTACTTTTCTATTCTGGAGGAATGTATTACGTCCAAAACTTCAGATTTTCCTCATTACGAATATAGCCATCAATGTCGCAAATCAAAATTGTTCCTTGATTATTCAAAAAGCATTTCTGACTATTTTCATTTCACAAAGCATAAAGATCCCCGAAGTATGTTTTGCAACATTGCTTTACATGCCAATTAAAGTGAGTAAATATAGGGAAGAGAAAAACCTCATGATAATGAGTATTCAAATGTGTACTTTTCTATTCTGGAGGAATGTATTACGTCCAAAACTTCAGATGTTCCTCATTACAAATATAGCTATCAATGTCGCAAATCAAAATTGTTCCTTCATTATTAAAAAAGCATTTTTGACTATTTTCATTTCACAAAACATAGACATTCATCAAGCATGTTTTGCAATATTACTTTACATGACAATTAAAATTACTAAATATAAGGAAGATAAGCCTTATGATAATGAGTATTTTAAATCTGTACTTTTCTATTCTGAAGGAATGCATTACGTCCAAAACTTCAGATTTTCCTCATTAC